GAGGAGGCGCACAAGTCCAAGTTCTCTATAAACCTAGGGGCTATGAAAATGTATAGGGACTTGAGGTTGAGTTATTGGTGGCCCTGCATAAAGCGGGAGATTGCCTGGTTCGTGGAGCGGTGCTTGACCTGCAGGAAGGTCAAGGCCGAGCATCACCGGCCTCATGGGAAGGTTCAGCCGCTCCCCATTCCCATGTGGAAATGGGAAGAGATCACAATGGACTTCATCACAAAGTTACCCAGGACGGCGAGGAGTGTGGACGCCATATGGGTGATCGTAGATAGACTGACGAAGAGTGCTCACTTCATTCCAATTTCCTAGAATATATCCGCGGAGAAGTTGGCAGATATTTATGTCCGGGAGGTGGTGGCAAGACACGGGGTTCCTGTGTCTGTGGTCTCCGACAGGGATGTCCGGTTTACTTCTAGGTTTTGGAAGAAGTTCCACGAGGAACTGGGCACCCAGCTACATTTCAGTATGGCGTACCACCCTCAGACTGATGGTCAGAGTGAGAGGACGATCCAGGCGCTGGAGGATATGCTTCCAGCATGTGTACTGGATTTTGGAGGGAGCTGGGATACATACCTCCCACTGGCAGAGTTCTCGTACAACAATAGTTATCATGCTAGTATTGACCGAGCCCCATTCGAGATATTCTATGGTCGGAGGTGCAGGACCCCAGTGTGTTGGGACGAGGTTGGGCATCGAGTCATGGGGAGCACTAAGGTGGTGCTCAGGACTACCGGATTGATTCAGCAGGTGCGTGACCAGTTGCGGGTCGCGCAGAGCCGTCAGAAAAGTTATGCTGACCGATGGCATTCGGATCTCGAGTTTCAGGTAGGGGATTTTGTACTGCTGAAGGTGTCACCTTGGAAAGGGATTATCAGGTTCCGGAGGAGGGGCAAGTTGGGGCCTCGGTTCATAGGCCCGTTCAGGATTACGGCCCGAGTGGGCAGGGTGGCATATCGCTTAGAGCTCCCTGAGGATGTTAGTCAGATTCACAATACCTTCCACGTGTCTCAGCTTCAGAGGTGTATTACTGACGAGTTCGCAGTTGTTTCCTTGGATGACATTCAGGTGGATGGGAGCCTGAATTATGTCGAGAAGTCGGTCGCCATCCTAGATAGGAAGATGAAGGGTCTTCGGAACAAAGAAGTGAAGCTGGTAAAGGTACAATGGCAGCACCGGAAGGGCTCCGAATGGACTTCGGAGCCGTAGGATGAGATGCGGGAGCATTACCCCGAACTGTTTGCAGCTACGGACTTCGAGGAAGAAGTCTAGTTCAAGTGGGGGAGAGTTGTAACACCCTAAAACTGTTATGTCTTTAAACCCTCAAGAAATCGCATTTTTCATAATTGGTCCTTTAAGTACGCTGGGTGTACCAGCAAGTACGCCGGGCGTACGTGCCAGGGGTCCAAAACCCTAATTTTCGGACATGAGACCTATTTAAGCAACCTTAAGTTCCTTGGACTTAACCCTAGAGAGCCTCCACTTCCTTAGAACGTCTTTATACTCCATAGAAACTTTCGAGACCATTCTTAAGCTTTAAAGAGTGCATTGTGGCCTTTTTAGTGTTCTTTCTAAGAAGAAGAGGTGGATAAACAAGCTTGGAACGAGTTGGTGCTTCAAGAACCTGCATATTAGGCACTTGCAAAGCTACTGGAGGTAAAAAGCTTGGATCTTTCTTCTTTAGTCTTTAGATCTAGCTAGGGTTTTCTTCCTTGTCCCTTTTGGTTGATTTTGGACCTCCATTGGTGAGTCATGCAACTCCAAAGGATGGAAATGTCAGATCTGAGGTCCCTTACTCCTTTTTCAACATAAAAATGGAGTCTTGATGGGTATCTTGACCTCATGCATGGGTTAAGAAGTTTAAAAAGGTCTTAATGAGGGTGTTGGGAGCATATGAGACATGCAAAGGCATAAAGTTGCCAACTTTAAGCCTTAGGTCGTCTTAATAAGCCTAGATCTGACTTATGGACGTAAAAGAGTCGAGCATTAAGCACTTAATGGAAAAAGTGCTTAACCTGTTAGTACGTCGGGCGTAGATCTGTGTACGCCGCGCGTAAGTCCCCGAGCCCCAGTACGTTGCGTGTACCAGAGTGGTACGCTGAGCGTACGCGTCACAGATGGGATTTAACCTGTTTTGGGCTTTTGGTATATTGGGCTTCACTTGATTATTGGACTTGGTTGCATTCTGTGAATTGTGGGCCACTTTATTTGTTATGGGCCATAGATATATTGATTGGGCTTTATTGGGCCAAGTGGCCCATTAATGATATTGGACTTAGACTTTGGCCCCATTAGCAAGGAAGGTATAATTTGGCCTCACGAAAAGGTTGGAGTTTGGGTTTCTTTTGATTAAGTAAGGTCTTGACATTTATTTATTATTATTATTCAGCACGGGAGGTTTCAGACTGTTAGGAGAGCAGCTTTGTATTTCACCAGACAGAGGTGAGTCTCCTCACCATACCAATGGGTCTAAGGCACCAAGGCCGGCCCATTTTACGATGTGTAGTATCCTAGCTGAGATTATATTATGTGACATGTTAGTTGGTATGAGCTAGGAAGTATGCTATTGGTTTATGTGGTATGTTGTAAGGAAGACCATGGAAGAGCCCATGACACTTGGATGTAAGACCATGAGGAGAGCCCATGGCTTTCCTACCAAAGACCATGGGAGAGCCCATGGCACTTAGGTGTAAGACCATGTGGGGAGCCCGTGGCATCCTGGAGTAAGACCCTGGGGACGAGCCCACGGCATCCCTATCTGTTGGTATGCATGGCTGATGTAATACGTGTAGCTGTTATAGCTAGTATGATATGTTGTATGTGCTTTGTGTGTGGTATGCTCTGGGGAACTAACTAAGCATTAGCTTACAGTTTGTGGATTTGTTTCAGGTACATCTGAGCCCAAGGGCAAGGGCAAGGCTTGATGGCGTCACGTGCACTCTCACTCGGGCATTTTATGGGACATTCTGACATTTTGAAATAAAGTTGTATTTGACATGGTTTTGAAAAACAATTGTAACTGGTTTTTTTGTGGATAATGAACATGCATTTTGGATAATTAAAAATGAAAATTTCCTTTTGAAAATTGGGTCGTTACATTATATCTCCTTATAATCTATATTAACTTTATTTTTTGTAACACCAAGATTTTAGGTATTCGTTTTAACCGTTGACTTATGTTTATTTTGCAAGTTAGTCCCTGATGGCAATGTTGTAAATTTGAAGTCCTTTGGAGTAGACGGGGCGTACACCCTCGTACGCAGGGCATACTCCGGAGCACCTTAGAACGCTAAGCATACGCAGGTACGCATGGAATACGCAGACAGAGTGCAAACCCTAAATTTTAGGGTTTGGACCATATTTAAGCTCACGTATGGCCTCAAGCACCTTTTTACCTTCAGCCTCCCTCCTCGTCTCGAAAAACCCTAAGAGTGTTTGTGCTTGTGAAGCTTGTTTGGGCCATTTTGGTGCATTTTTGGTGCTCTTGGAGTAGAAAGGAAGAACATTGTAGTGGTAGTGTTACACTCAAGGCTTTGGATCCAGCATTTAGTCCCCCTTGTGCACCTTGTGGAGCTAAAAATTTCACACTTGATGATAGAATCTCTTGGATCTAGTTCTTCTAAAGTTGTTCCCTTTTTGGTTCCAAACTTAGCCTTTGTCAGTGGGAGGTATTCCAAGTTATTTGAGTTGTTCTTTCAGAGGTTTTTAGGGGTGTTAAGTCATAAAGTTCGGTTCTTGGTCTCTTGTTTTCCCCCATGTATGTGCTATATGGTCTTAATGGATTAAGAGGCTAGGGTTTTCGGTTTTAAGGACTTAATAGTTATACTAGGCCATAAAGTTGGAAACTTTATGGCTTAGGACATCTTATGTGATCCAGATCGGAAGATTAGACGTGAGTGCTTAAGGGATTAAGCACTTGGTTAAGAAGTTGGCAAGCAACCTCGTACGCAGGGCGTACCGAAGCGTACGTTGAGCGTACGAGGTCAGCGCCCCATCCTTCGGTCAACTGTGAAGTACGCCCCACGTACACGAGGAGTACGCCCCACATACTGACTGAGTCAACCCAGTTGTCTCGGTTGACTTTGACCTGGTTTTGACTAGGGTTTGACCTAGGGTCATTTTAGGTATTTGAATGGTAGTCTGAGTTTTGGTGGTTTTAATTGTAAAGGTGATTGGTAGTGTGGATTTCGGAGCAGCATGTCAGTTCAGCTTTTCGTCAGTGAGGTAAGTCTTCTTACCACCTTAAGTAGGCCGAAGGCACCAAGGCCGACCTACTATATTGTATGAGTAGAATTGTATGTTATCATGTGATTCTATCTGTTGTGCTTGTATGATTTATGCATTGAGCTATATGGGCTCGAAGTCATTACGGACTCGGGGTTGATTTGGACCCGACACAGCTGTATGATGTATTTTGGGTTGATACGGACTCGGGGTTGATACGGACCTTACACGGCCACGTGATGTTATTTGATATGTATGTTCTATGTGGTAATTTGGGAATCTCAGTAAGCTTTATGCTTACAGTTTGTGTTATGGTTTCAGGTACTCCCAGTTCCAAAGGGAAGAGTCCGACGTAATGGCACAACATCCTCCCCACATGATTTCTGCACTTTATATTTTTGTAGTCTGATGTTTTGAAATATTGTAATGAACAATGGCTTTTGATACAATCAATGAATGAAAATTGAAGTTACTTTAAATGAAAAATTTTGGCACTATTTTTGGGTCGTTACAATTTTAATTTTTATTCTGATGTTATTAATTTAATGTAACTAGAATAAGAAATTTGAAATTTCAAAATGAATAATTAATAGGTTGACAAGTGGCATGACATTAATTAGGAGGCCAATAGGATGACACTTGGCAAAAGGAGAATAAACTTATTCTTTTATTAGAATAGGAAAATTGATAAATAAATAAAATAAAATAATAAAAAAAATCTCTTGGCAAAATCAAGGTTTCATGAACTTCACGAACATAAATATGTATCAAGATTGTGATTCGATGATTTTTATATCGTCAACAGTCAATGTTCCTGAGTGGTCAACATCAAGATTCTTAAACCCTTCAACCACAATCGCAATATCTTCATTGCTCACCTTCCCCATCTCTCTCAACTTATACACAATATATTCTGCAGCACTGTGATATAAAGACACAAAACCAAATGATAAACATAGAAACGTTTTGAAAAAAAAAGTAAACATAGAAAGTTGGTGTTTCAAATGTACCTGACAACTTTATCATCATCAAGATCGGCCTCTCTCAAGATCTTGAATCGTCAACTTCCTGTTAAGTACCCAATGAACAAGCATTTGTCGTCTATTATCAGTCCATAATTCCACTAAATACACAAATAATTGTGCTAAACAGACAGTAGTAATCAAGATCCAGAAAACGGCAAACAAACGTCCTCCTTGAGTCGAAAAACTCTTATCTCCATATCCTAATGTCGTGATTGTAGCACAGACACAATAGAAAGCTTCAAAGTAGCTCAATTGTTCAACAAGTGACAAAAACAAAGTTCCAACAGTCATGAGGAAGATAATAAGTGTCAAAATAGTAAAAAACTTGTACTTCAATTTATTTGTTTCGGCTTCTTTAAGGATCTCATTTGGACCATATGTTTCATGCATGTGTATCGCTTTTACAAACAAGATTTCTTGTTTTCCAACTATGTAATCTGCTGCTTTGCTAAGAGCAAAACCACCAAGAGCCATTCCTGTAAACACAAAGATACAAGCTAAAGATTTTGCCAAATTTGTTTTTGGTCCTACATCACCATATCCTGCAGCTGTCATTGTGATGACACAGAAATAGATGGAATCTAGGATTTTGTTGGTTTTCTTGCCACTGATTTGATCTTGAATTAGGGAAAAACAGATGGTTCCTAGGGTAAGGTAAGCAGCTAAAATAACTGACACTTGCTTTAAACTTATTTGGTCTGTGGAGATTGCTGATGGGTAAAAAAGATGTTGGTTTTCGTGTTCTTTTCCTCTTGCAAGTAAGGCGTCTTTCGTATCATCATTAGCCATCATGTAATCAAGATTTTGTAAGATTGGCACTTGTTCTTCAAAACATTATTAGAAGTTAGAACAAGGGAATATATGAAAGAAAGGAACGTTTTGTGAATTCAAGAGAAGTAGTTTGTGGCCTTGATGCTTTATACATGGACAAGGGTTGCCTGATTATCCATTTTGGGTGTAGAAAAGATCCATAATTTACAAACATTAGCTTGATAATTCTAGTATCTTTTACTATACGACAAAGCATGGTACATATGACTGAGGACAAAATATGGAATAATATGTACATGGGCGTTATTTATTTGGACGATATATTTCAACATTTAACTAATGCCCAATCACTTTGGTATCTAGATGTAACCCAAATGTTGTCATGTTAATGAGACATTGAATACTAATCAGTAATCAAGGTCAATTTGTCTGGGACAATGTTGTAGGTATTACACATGGATCGATTATGCTATACCTCAGATGTAAGTCAAATATTCCAGAAGGGGTAAAAAGGGGAAATCCGTAAAATAAAGGGCATCTTAGTGGAGGGGTAATTTAGATACTTTATTTATATTGGTTGTTGCATCAGTGCTTATAAGAAGGTAGAGAACTAGACTCTCGAAATTCTAATAAGCATTAGGTTTTTCATGTGTTGTTTTTTGAGTATAAATCAATACAGGAAGCATTTTGATTATCTGTTCTTGTTTTGAGTATCATCTTGTTAGTCACTTCATAGCAACTTACAACTGTCTATGAATTTATAGATCTTTATAGGAGTTTGATATCGAGTTGTTAACAAGAAAATATACCAATTTGGTTGGCGTTTTTTCTATTTCTTACCATGTAAAATTTATGGATTAATTTCAATCAATAAACAATTTGTGGTTAACAAACAAAACAAATTGTGTTGTGAATAAACTTTCGTATCCTGTTATCTCAATCGAATCAAGTGAGCCATACAAGAAAAGAAAGACACAAGCTTCACGGATAAGGTGATAAGTATGCCGAACTATTGTCATCTTACATTATACATTACACAAGAAACAGATCAAAACTATGGTATTTTGCTATTAGCCAACAAAATTACTATAGATTAACCATGTTCATGATTACGATCGTCATGGGCATTGGACTAGTAATAATAATCATAACTAAACTCGTTGATACCAATCATGGCAGAAACCACTTGAGTAACGATGTAAAATCCACCTCCAAGAATTGTCAAAACAAGAATGGCTGAAATGGGGTTCTTCAATAACTCATAAAAGAGGCTGAAAAACTGCATATAGAACACCAGTACTCACAGTCAATGCATAAAGCCCATATCTTCTCATATTATCCCAAAAATCTTCCATCAATGGCCCTTCTGGGCCAAAAGCTAATGCCGTTTGGTGGTTATCGGAACCCATAAGAAGCATCATGAACCCTAGGGACACAGCTCCTACTATCACATACCTCGAATTGTCGCCTAACGGGATGAATCTCTCTGTTTCTGCTGATAAGTCTAAGAGGTGATGTTCTTCATCTCCAGATAACTTCTCAATTGAAGATGAGTCGTTGGGTTTTTCTGTGGTTTTGACTGTTTCTGATTCAATCAACAGGGATCTATTAGAAAGTTTAATTCTTGATGGGGATTTAGTGATTTGTGATGAGGACTTTGGTTTTTTGATTAAGAGAGATGGTGATTTCGTTTTGGAGGAGACGAGAAACGAAGGGTTATTGGCGATGAGATTAATGTGAGTTGGGGTGTAGAACTGAGATCTCAGGGTGAAGCTCTTCATGTTGCTTCTTTTCTGTTTTTTGAGCCTTGAAACGCGAAGATGGAGAGATCAAGAGATACTGTCAAGTGTCAATGAGTGGTGGTCATGGACTGAGCTCCATTTGAGTTTGATAGATACTTTGGCCACCAAACTTGAGTATTTTGTCATTGAACCACAAAACTATTCTTACTAGCCAAACCCAACCAAAAGTCTTACACTTTTAGTGAGTTTTTTACTAAAATATTTATAAATATTTACCATTTGCTCGTGGATTGAGACTTATTTATAAAATAATAATTGTTTTATTATAAGGGAAAAATAAAAGATAGTGGCCCATATTTTATGTCATCTACCCCCAATTTGTGTTCATCGTCGTCATTGTCATTACTAAATTCTACAACCATCGTTTGGTCCAAGAACCCCCAACGAAACCACCAATGAATCTTTGCATCTCCGGTGCCGTGCTAGAGAACTCCCTCGTATCGATGAGAAACCATCTTTCTTGTTGTTCCACCGACCATGCCATCAGAGAAGTAGGTTCTTCTTATCGTCCTCCTTCACCCTTTTGACACATTCCCTACTCTGGTTGCGGTGCCAACCGATGGCTTGTCAGTGGAGCGAACTACTTGTGCAAAATCATAAACCTGTGACCAACTTCTACCCCATCATTGTGCACATAACTGTCTTTACCTAATTCAGTTCCGTCTACATATTATTATCAAGCAACTCATTTCGTATCTAGTGATCTTTGACAAGCCCCTTAGATTTTGGGGATTTTGTTAAATCATATTGTATGAAACTTTAAAATTACGAACATAAAGTTTTTTTCTTTTTGGATGTGTAACATCCCAAAAACTATAGTAAATTTTTTAATTTTTAAAAGAGATAAAAATTGTGTTTCCATCAAACCCAAGTCACCAAAAACATAGTTTTAATATCATATTAAATCAGAGTAATAAAATAAGAGTATCTTATAAAAACATGACAATAACTGGATGATGTGTACAATCACGTCTTCGCCTTTCCCTGGTCCTATGAAGTTCCTAAAACATTTAAATCCACAACTGTAAGCCAACGTTTAGTGAGTTCCTCAAAATGTCCAACACAACAATACACATACAATGCATGCACATACGAGCCTACAATCTTACTGGACCGCCTCACAAGGCCTAAAATACACCAAGAATCGCTTTGTTTGGGCCTACAATCTGGTTGGACGGCCTTGCGGGGCCTACACTACACCTGGATCACCCAGGTCCCTTGGCCTACAGCAGAAAACAGAACCGCCTCAACCCAATTACAATATGTCAACATATGCAAAAATAAATAAATAAATAAATAAAATAAAAAAAACACACACACACACACACAATAACTAGCAAACACAGGTAATCATACAGATCTACCAATCTAACAAATCACTACAACATACCATTATCCTACACACAAGGATACATACTGCAGTACAAAGTATACTGAGAACTCACCTCACAGACTATAATAATCCACACTGCTCGGCTGAAATACAAAATTGGTACTACGAGTCACATATACAACAAACAAAGGCCAATCCTTAATCTATAGTCTGAAAACACTCAAGTTGACCAAAAGTAAATGGTTAAAGCACATCGTGCTTCCTAAGAGTGCTCTATACTCACTATGGGACAAAACAATCGACCCATTTTTAGCAAAACCAACTCGCAACAGGAAATCATAAAAAGCGACATGCGCTTAGGAAAAGCGCACTGTGATTTGGCTAATTTTTCAATGACTTTTGTCTTATTCCATTAATATAGAGCTCCAACTTGTAGATCTAAACTCCCACAATGTTCTAATGCATAAAGCTTCCAGCTTTATCCATTGATATGAACCCAAATCTACAAGATCTAAACTTGAACATCAAAAAGGGGCCAAAAGAAAACCTACTTTGCATGGTTAAGAGAACAAGCTCCAAGATGCCAACTTTCTTAATAAGAATGTTCAAATAACAACTCTAGGTGCTTAGAAAGAGATGGAGTCATCATTACTCCAAGCTCACCACCAAAATGGGACTAAAAGCATAGAAAGGGACCAATAGCTAGATCTATTGTAACACCTATTTTCCAGATTGGATCAGTAGGGCATAAAGGAGTCAAAGGCATGATTTTTGGGAAAAATCATGTGTCATGACGTGACCAGCCAAATGAAGAACACGTATCTGGAGGTTAGTCACAATGTAACTATTGGATAGGTGTCTAAGCCCATAACTAAAATTAGTATATACTAGTGATGTGTGTTTATTTCACTAGTTTTAGTCCTACTTTTTTAAATATGATTTAGACACACAAAAGGCAGTGTACCTGTCAATTGGTGGTATAATTAAGCAAGCAGGGTATCGAACACAGGGAACGGTAAATAAACTAACTACTAAATTATCTAAAAAACAATTAATAAAAGAAAAGAGGTTTTATCTAGTTTTGCAAGACTAGAAACTTAAGCACTTATCTAACACTTAAACAAAACAATTAACAGCTAAAACAAGTAAAAATCAACTAAATTCAATATTAAAGGAGACTTCTGTTCAGGTTCAACTAACTTATTCATATGGTTGATTTTATGGCACGTGCAATGGATTAATTTATCTGTGGCTAACGATTAATGTGATTAGGTTCATGTTCACTATTACTAATCCTTAGAAAACAAATCAATTTAAACAGTGGCCAGTTGGTTAAACTAATGAATTTCCTAGTTTATTGATTCGGGTTTAGTAAGACTTGTAGCTAGCTAATTAAATTGTTAATTCACTTAACTTCTTGTATGATGGTTCGTCACACAAGCTCACACATTGACTTACCTGTTTTCTAATTAATCCCTAGTTTCATGTTCACTATTCCTAGGCATATAATATTGTTTTCACATAAATTATATGAGACAAGCAATCAAGAGATGTTCATGCAACTTAATACACTTGATAATTAACAGAAAATAGTTATTGGCAACACATGAGCATCTTTAACAAGCTTAATTAAACAAAATTCACCAATCTAAATTAATCCAACCACAAAATCAAACCATAGTCATAAAGTTGTCTACCCTAAACAGAAGAAACGAGTTTTTAGCTCATATTCATAGCAGAAAACATCTCATAAACTAAACCTAATGATCTAAACATGGTAAAAACACTAGATTAAGAAAAGAGAATAAGACTGTGCCTTTTGATCTCCTCAAAATTGGATGCTAAAGTCGATTCCCGAGTTCCAGAGCTCCAGCAATACCTTCAATAGCAATTCAATCCCCAAGGATTCCAGAGAAGCCTCTAGTTTCGGACTATAATGTCCTATTTATAGATTTCTGAAAACAGGGGCGACTCGCCGAGTCCAGTAACCAACTTGCGGAGTCCCTCATTAAGAACCCGTGTACGGAAAGGACTTTTATTGCTTCACGAATTTTCGTTCCTACTCGTCGAGTAGGTGTCTAACTCGCTGCGTTCTTCAGGTTTTGGACTCTTTTTCTTCTTTCTTCAATTCCCAAGCTTCCGGTTGCATTTCCCGCTTTCTTTTGCTTCCGAGCATGTCACACCCCCAAACCAGACGGCGGAAACGTTCGGGGGTGGAGGACTTCATTTGTAGTATCACAACACATGCATTATAGTAATCAGAGTACAAACAACCACTGTATTTAAAAAGTATAAATATTTACATGTGTTTCAACCTTGTATTATGAAACTAAATAGTTGTACAAAAGAAGAAGATAAGACATAAATAGCTCCATCTTCTCAAAAGCTCGGGGTGTACCTGTCTACTGGTTCCCTGAGAATACAAGTAATTTGAAAAGAGAGTATCAACATAAAGTTGAGTGAGTGCATAAGTATTTATGTTTTGAAAGAATGTCTTCTGTTTCTTGAATATGTAACTGTTTCCAGAAAACTCTATATTTTCTGATGTATATGAAAAGTAGTTTAGTTGCATTAAACTGTTCTATTTGTAAACCAATTTTCTGTATTTGTAATCCTTTAGTAAACTTGTATCTGAGAGTATATCTGAATTCATCAACTGTTATTGTAAACTGTAATGTATTACTGTAAACTGTATCTGGTAAACTAGTACTTTGAAATAGTACATAAGTTTAGTTAACTATACACTAACGTATTGTTAATATCTTTTAATGAGATATTATAACCGTACTAACTAGGTGGCCTGACCCAACGCTATGAGTGCGCTGAAAGTTGATGATAACAATTGTCACTCACAGGCGTGTATGCCTGACTGTAGCTAGCAGTCCGAGTGCGGGGTTGTCAATCCCAATATAGATCTATACACACATTGTTTCGATCCCCTGTTGGAGACTCTGGTTATAATATCAGGACTTTACTATATTGTTTAAATTAATTAAACAATCTGTACTATTTGACTCATAAAAGCATATAAACGTTACATGTATAATACTTAGGGAAACTCAATCATTCTGAAATAAATGATTAATAGTATGTTCTTGAATTATTACTCTTAACCTGTATCTGAAAGAATGTATACACTTGGATAGTTTTGAATTAAACCTTTGTTTTTGTAAAACAATGTACTCTAGTATGCTTGAATCATGAACTAATGTTCTGTGAATCATAAATTATACCTATTACAATTTATATGTACTTTCTGTATTGATACTTGGTATTAATGAATACAACCCCTTGCTCAACTTGTTACAAAGGGTAATTGAAACTAAATGAATAAACTTTTATACTTGTATACATATACAATATATATAAGTAAAATTTAAATGACACTCGGACAAATAACTGATACTTGTAATCCCACATCCAAACAAGGAAAAGGAACCAACGTGGGTTATTAGTCCTAAATCTTTTAAATCTTATTTATATAAATATATGTATACTAGTATGATTTTTAGGGAAAAATATAAGTTTATAAAATATTTAAAAGAAGTTTCATATTCTGAAATCCATTTTGGTGACTTGACGTCTTTTTGAAACAATCACTTAAAACCACTTGATTTGATGATACTGAAATTCATTTCGATAAGAT